AGCGCTCAACCTGTCATCCACGTGGCTGGCCTTGTACGTAAGAGGTTATGAACAGGTGGAGCTTTCCTTACCTCTTCCCCTTCCCCTTTTTTCCTTTTCCTTTTTTCTTTCCCCTTTTTTTCGCTTCTGCGCTCTGATTCACAATGTGACAATATATATATGGAGCTCATGATCCTCGCGATACATTTGACATGTTGGACTTGTACGTATGCACCTGGTCGAGAAAGGGGTCCGAATGCATGTAGGATCATGTGTAGTTTGAGGACACATACCTGATCGAGGAGGGAGAGGCATACTCAGACGTAGAGCACTTAAATGTATCTGACCGCAATCACGTCCTGGATGCATCTGACCGCAATCATGTCCTGGATGCATCTGACCGCAATCACGTCCTGGATGCATCTGACCGCAATCACGTCCAGAGTTGAGTAGAAGAAGTCCTAGTGAAACCAAAATGGGGAAATTGGATTGAGGACTGAAGTTGGCAGAATTAGGTTGTTGTGGAAGTGACGCCTGGGAGCAGAAGGCGGAGAATAGAATTGGGTCAATAATCAAATACATTTCGTCCCGCATATATGGTATCCATGATATATATATTGATAGCACTACGATGACTTGCTATCTATAGATGGATGCCTAGTATGCATTGTATTTGTATTGTATGTAGACTTGAATACAATGTCACGGGTCTCACTTCGCGCACAAAATCCTTCTTTGGGAAGCAAAACAAAATAAATTTAAAGAGAAATTGAGTGGGCGTACCAGCCAGAACTCATTTACGTATGATTCTAACATGGGCTGATGTGCCTCACAGTTGGGCAGTACCTTTGAGGATCGGAAGAGTCGGGCCTGCGGAGCCTCTGCTAGAGAAGAAAAAGAGGAAAAGGAAAAGACGGAGTGGGAGGGGGGGGGGGGGGGGAGTGTAAAATGCTAGAATAGTAGGGTGCTCTTCCTAATGGTAGGCTTAAAACTTTTGTAATATCCTAGTGGAGGGACAAAAGTATGCCCTGTATGTTTTTAAGGGACGGAATTAGCCCTGGGAGGGGACCTTCATAGTTTAAGGAGGGGACCTTCATGGGTTAAGGAGGGGACCTTCATGGTGTAAGTTTAACTCGGAAGTAGAAAAGGTGGTTATCTACTACTTTTTGGGAGGAGGGAAGATTTNCCTTCATGGGTTAAGGAGGGGACCTTCATGGTGTAAGTTTAACTCGGAAGTAGAAAAGGTGGTTATCTACTACTTTTTGGGAGGAGGGAAGATTTGTTGGGTACTTGTTGCCTGTAGAGGGTCGGACTGCATCATGGCCTCTGCACATCCAGATGCAGGTGAGCGGTCCTTAATGTTTGGTGAAGGAGATAAATGGCCCCCACCAGTGCCTCTCCCACCTATCCTGTGTGCCCCTGTCGGAGATCACAGTCTGGTGGTGAGACTGCCCCTGGCTGGTGCTTGCACATCTGCACTTCCAGGTGCTCTCCGGCCGTGCTAGTTTTTCGGATTTGAATTTGAAATCCTGAGGAGATTTTTCTATGTGACTGTTTTGAAGGTAAGTGTAGAGCCGAAGTGGAAAAGAAGGATTCCTGCTACTTCTTGGGTGAAGGGAAGAAATGGATGCGGTGATTTATTTATGTTTGGAAGGATGGAATTGACCTGGGCCAAGGTCCCACTGGCGCAAATTAGGAGATTTGGGCCGTTGATCTTTGCTATCTACGGTCAGTATCTCTTAATTCGTGCAAGTGGGACCTAGCCCCTGGATAGGCTGTGTTCTTGGGCCTCTGCGTGTCCACGTGCATGCATGGTCACAAGTCCCTGCTACTTGGGGGTGGAGGACCGAAACATAACCCCCTTGTGTTGGGAAGGGGGTAAAATTCAAACTTGGTGGGGTCAGGCTGCACAGGCTGGCGCTTGCGCATCGGCACTTCCATGTGCTCTCCAACCATGCTACTTCTGTACTTGAAATTGAAAATTTGAGCGGGTCGATTCTGGATTCTTTTCCTTTTTCAGTGTTGGGAAGGGGGTAAAATTCAAACTTGGCGGGGTCAGGCTGCACGGGCTGGCACTTGCACATCTGCACTGCCATGTGCTCTCCAACCATGCTACTTTTGTATTTTGAAATCGGAAATTTGAGCGGCTCGATTCCGTGCTCTTTTCCTATTCGGAGAAATATGGAAGAGAGAGAAATTTGAAACAAGGGATGCAGGCACCCGAATAGAACGCCCGGTCATTATAGCTGTATTGGAACAACTTTGGGTCCAGATGCAGCGATAATGACTGGGCGTTCTATTCGGGTGAAGACCGTAGCACGGAGAACTGCAGAGAGGAGAGGGAAGGATCTGCACATAGTGCACCCTTGACGTCATATAACAAGCCGCAGCGTGTGGCGC